AAACAAAAATACCTACGAAAAAGACAGTGCTGCCAAGAGTTGATATATCGATAACCCAAAATAACTGGTTTTCGTTGGTTTTTTATACAATAAATGACTCTTTATAATCGGGTATGTTTTATTTAATCTTGTGCTGTCTTCCACTCTTTTTATATATGTACTTTGTACATAAAAAAAAACAAACAATAACAATAAAATTGTAGTAAACCACAACACTACTCTCCATCGTGATGACGTCACTGTCACGACTGGACGACAACGGCGTAGCTGACCTTTCTTTTTGAAACTTTCTTAGAGATGTAGCCGTGTCGCACGTTGTGTATCATTTCAAAATCGATCTAACCAAAATATACAGACATCGATTCAAAATATTTTATGGCGAGCCGTAGGTCAAGTGAATCACAGAAGAAAAGTCACGCTCTTATGACAATGGGGGTTTCATATGATGCTGATGTTGCTAAATGATTTTGAGATTCAGAAAGAAAATCGCACAACACAAAATGAAAAATTGCTCTTGATACCTTAAGTAAAAAAAAACACATTTATTATTTGGAATTTTATATTATATATATATATATATATATATATATATATATATATATATATATATATATATATATATATATATATATATGTTTGGAATTTTATATTATAAATAAAAAAGGTACATAATTATTCACTAATCAACAATTGTATATAGGTAATTATTCGCACTAGGGAAATCAGTCTTATAATATTAAAATCTCGGTCATGGAATAAAAAATCAGTAATTATTATAAAAATCAACAAATGGTACATAATTATCCACCAATCAACAATTGTATATAATTATTCGCACTAGGAAAATCAGTCTTATAATATTAAAATCTTGGTCATGGAATAAAAAATCAGTAATTATTATAAAAATCAACAAATGGTACAAGGTGCACATCGGCCCGGGACGATCGTTTTATTGTTATGGAGATTTTGAGAAACCGCTACCTGACCGCTGTTGAGATACGCCAGCGGCTCCAAATCGCAAGAGGCGTTAATGTTAGTGAGCGTACGGTGAGAAGACGAATGGAGGAAGTGAATTTAAAAGCTCGTAGACCAGCACGAGGTCCAGAACTTCTCAGACAGCACCGAGTAGCCCGACTTCAGTTCGCAAGAGAACATGTCAATTGGACCCACGAGCAATGGGCTAGAGTGTTGTTCACAGATGAGTGTCGAATAGCTTTACATGCTCCAGACGGTCGAGAACGAGTGTGGAGAAAAAGAGGAGAGAGGTTTACCACCACCCAAACTGTGAGTTTCCATGGAGGCTCAATAATGGTATGGGGAGGTGTAAGTTCCGACGCACGTACAGAGTTGGTCATCGTCGATAATCGGCTTACAGCTACTCGATACATCGAGGAAGTTCTTCAGGAGCACGTAATGTCTTATTCGGGATTCATTGGACACGACCAATTCCTCCTCATGCACGATAATGCACGCCCGCACGTCGCACATTGTGTAGAGGAATATCTGGAAGAGGTTGGAATACAAAAATTACAGTGGCCAGCTCGTAGCCCGGACTTAAATCCAATTGAGCATGTATGGGGTATGCTCAAAAGAAAGATAAAGTCCAGCTCCAAACCGCCACAAACTCTAAATGAGCTCCGAAATGCAGCGCTGGCCGCTTGGGACAGCATACCGCAAGTTGATGTCAGAAACATCATTCAAAGCATGCCAGATCGAATGCAAGCGGTTATCAGGGCTAGAGGAGGAAACACCCGATATTAAAACTGATAGACAATAAAGAAACAGACTTAATTTTTAACTTTGTAGTGTTTTTAAAGTGACAATGGAAAGATGTTAATTTTAGTGAAAACATGTTATCTTGAAAAGAAAAATTTCGGTGAAGTAAACATTAAATTTCTATGTTCTAAAACCATTAGAGACACTTATTGAATGCATCTACCCTTAATTTACTGTTAAAAAAACGTTTCAGTGCAAATAATCAGCAAATTCACTAGTGGCCAAGTTTCCGTGCCGGTGAGCAATTAAAAATAATTAATAAATTATAGGTAATATTAGTCTTAAAATAATAAAAATCTTATGGAATAATAAAACATAAATGTTTAGCTGGCCAAAGCAAATTTTTTAACGTGGTAGAGCCATGCTGTAATTATATTACGGGAGAGTAGTTGTAGCACTAATGAGTCAGCTCAACCGGGGAAGAACCACGCTCTCACGGAATACCGGCGTCAAATAGTAGCTTAATGCTGCTGTGTTTCGTATGGTAAGTGTAGAGAACCGGAGACCCTCTTTACTGAAAACGAGGAATTCCATCTAAGTCCTCACGGGTGAGAGCGCATCTGCATTTTGATTCGTAATCGAGGATAGTAATTTATATTCTTAATTCACAAAATTAAACGCTACCAATAGACCTACTAGTCAAAACTTAATACCATTAACGAATAATTTTAAATTTTTTTTAAACATACATATTTTACTTTATAAATACGTATAATAAAAATATTTTAAAAATAATATTATTTCCTTATAAGAAGTATATAGTTCAAAATCCTAATTTATTAGTCATCGAAAAATAACATCCAAAGTCATTTATTAGAGTATGCTCAGAAGTGTTTTCTGTACGTTAAGTTATAGCGTTTCTATTTAATGTACAAAGTTTTTCTTTCTTTAAAATTGTTGAGGCGTTTCCTTAATAATTGCTTACTATGACTGATAAATGATTTATAATATGTGGATGTTCGAAATTCAACTCCAAATTTCTCGCAGTGCTCAAGAAAGGTAGGATAAAGATATTTCACTTCTGCATGATTCAACGTTGGAAAATAATGATGAAGTGCATGATATCCAAACCGTGTAAGTGATTTAAAATGGTTGTCATCGTACTCAACTCTCTCAACTAAAGTGTCCAATTGATGAAGACCCCAGTCATAATACATGTCTCTGTAAAAATACAATATTTTGATTAAAAAAAATACAATTCACGAGAAAACTTGTCATGAAGAAAAATGTATGTAATTATTATCATTGTAGATTGTATGTGTGAGAAAGCCTTTAATTACTGTAAGACGCGAAAGTGTTAGTAACAAAAAAAGAACGTCGCCGCCGAGAACAAAAGAGCAATTTAGTACTAAGTCGACACGCTATTTTAGATCTTAATGTTTTACCATTACATTGATTTTTAGTCTACTCACAATACTATTCGAAATGATTGTAATACCGAAAGGTAGAAAGTCGATATACTATTTGGGACCTTAATGCTTTTTCATTAGGTTGATTTATGATTTATGGTCTACTCTCAGTTTATACAAAGGTACTCTGTGGTCTACTCACAGTACCTACTTTTCGGAAGGATTATGGTGAAATATGGTTTATAAGACATTTATTTCGCTAAACAATATTACCATTCGCTTTTTGACAGAAAAAAAATCTACTAGTTGCAGTATAAAAGTAAATGAACATGATGAGTTATTCTAAACTCGAAAACAAAAACATAAAAAATGTGCTCACAAGAGTCGCCCGGGAAACAGTTTCATTTTGTATCGAACTTATTATATTTAAAATTAAACAAAATATTATAAAATAATAGATACATAAAATAGGCAATATGCATGTTAGTAAAATAAGTTTAATTTATTAGGAACTTAAGACACTTACCTTACTTAAATCTTCAGGTAATGATTCAGATACCGAAAATTCATCATCGTCGACGCTTTCCAAAATCCGAATGAGTTCTGAGGAATCGTTCATGTTGCACTGCACAAATTTTTCCGCTAATAGCTTATGACGTCATCAGCGTGTCGTCTATACTTGACCATGGCGCCCAGTGAACTGATTTTCGAAGTCGCGCTAAGGATGCGCCAGAGTTGAGATATTAGATTTATTATGCTAAGATAATTTGATAATTTTTTTTATTAATGTAGCTAATTATAGTTTTATATTTCTAACCTTTTGTTTTATTTAAATATCAATAATAATAGAAAAAAAAACATGTTTGAGCTTAATTTTGAATAGTTTTCAATAAATTTATGCCTAACGCATTACAACACTAGCGGTCAAACATAGACGACTTTGGCGTGCTGGACATAGTATTTGCTTAGATAAAAATCCATTTTTTTTAGTTCAATGTTTCTTAGTACTTGTGGCTCTAGGAGACTTGTTTTTTATACTCACATGTTGCTGGGTTATTCTTTTTTTGAGGGATGTAGAATTAAAATACCAGTAATAATTTTCCAATGTCTATATTTCATATTTTTTGTGGGCCGGGGTTTTTGTCAACTATAGACGTCGTTGGCGCTCAGGACCCGCGGGTGCTGGTCACGTATAGACGACTTTGGCGCTCAAAAGGTTAAAAGCTAGCGCGAGCGACGCGAAACACGAGGCGATTGACGAACCACCGCTCGCCCCGTACTCGCGCGAATGTGTAAATGCGGCTTTACGTAAAATTATAGATCTTCAATTTTAATTGTTAACATTTTCCCACATTGCATAGTTTTCGCGAAATATGTAAATCTAGAGGTCTCATTTAAACTTTATTGCGGAGGAAGTCGCCGATATTGATAAATAAGCACTTCGAGTCGAGCATAATCAAAGCACCAATTAGAGAGTCGAGATAATCGACTCAAAACAATCGATTGTCTCGATTCTTTTGTACGAGAGTGAGTCAATTTAGGATTCGGCCGACATGATTACTGTTTTCAAATGTCGACATTCGATATCTTAGAATTACTTATCACTTCCGACTAACCACTGCAATTTTCTTAATTGTACCTATGAAATTCGTATTGCCATTCAGTGACGGTTTAGTTACATTTACTTCCTTGGGACGCTTTTCATACTTCCATACAATCTTAGCCAATGGTGATACGAAAACGATAATAGCGAGTAATAACAAGCTGTATGAGCACAGTTAATTTTCTAGTATTCATTTAAAATATATGAACAATGAAAAGATAATAAAATTTAAAATACATTTATTAAAAAGTTGAAGATGTACAAGTTAATAACTAATCCATTCTCGTCTTTACATGTTTTTCGGTGATTTTATCCTTCTCGATGATGTATACGATTGCACCCCAACCGGAGATGGCGTCACGATCCGCCGCGTTCACTAAAGCCTGTGGAACAAAAATAAATTCATAAATCAGCGAATATATTATGAACCAAGTGTCAATCAGGGCACAATTTATAATTCTCGGGCAATATGAATAATGACAAATCAAATCGGGCTACGTATAATTAATACTCATTTAACCCTTCAAGCGCCATAAAAATCTCACGCAGTCGCATGCGTTCGGCAAATCCCGAGCGGTCGCATGCAACCGCACTCACCCTCAGCACTTAAAACCATTAAAACTTATATTTAGAGACTGCTTTTCTATGAAGAAGTTTAGCATTATAAAATCTATACAAAATTCTCTATCCTGTGGTCTAAACAAAAGTCAGGATTTACTTCATTACAAAAAGATTTTATTGTAATTTGATAACAAAAAACATACCAAGTGAATGGCAGTGTGAAAATCACAATTATTTCAATATACAGGGCTGTCCGGTTTCCGATGTCCGATACTTTAAGGGGTTAAAATACAATTAATTTTATCGACAAATCAGGGATCAATGATTTTTTTTTCGCCATCAATAAAAAAATGGCAGCACTTTAAAAAAATTGTTGGCGAAGCATAGATGCTTGTATTAATTTAACAATATCTACCAAAGTAGAAGACTTTCAAAAACAAAATTGGTCTCAAATGTTAGTTAATAGTGTAGACAATAAATTTAGATTCAAAATATTATTTTTTAATTTTTCAGTATTAGTAAAAAACATTTTTGAAAAAATAAATTAGACAACATATTGATGTTGTTTTTCAGATTCTTAGCTTTAAAAAAAACCATCGTGTTAACCAATTTTTTTTACTTGTTTTTATTACAATATAGGATATTTGCTATAAATGCACATTTAAATCTTAACTCTGAGTTAGATAGTTTAGGAGCTATGATAATTTGAATGTAACTGTTCAAAGTGCCTCTACCCCGATATTAGATAACTAAACACCCATTCCAGTGAGTAAGATAAAATTCTTCAATAATTCAAGGAATCGTAAGCAAGCACAATAGCATCCTTGGTAAAAAACGCTGTGCACAACAGTGCGAGCGAGACGGAATAACGGCTGTCTACAGGTAAAAAGGGTGCAGTGTGCGCTTATGCCGACTGCCGTCGAGCAGTCGTCACTCGCTCTGCGTTGTGATAACATTCCTGGTTTTAAGTAAATCTACTTACTGTACATAATTATTGTTTGTTGTTAGACTTTGTTACGTTTTTGTTTTGTTGTTGAACTGTTACTTTTTGTTTATTACAATGAACGAGTACTCAAGCCAGCATATCGCTGACATCCATTTCGTGTATGGATTGTGTAACGGGAGTGCAAATAGAGCTGTTGTAGAGTATGCACGCAGATTTCCTAACAGACGTACGCCGAATGCTCGCACTTTCGTGAGAATTCATTTGAGACTTGCGGAAAATGGAATAAGAAGGCTCGGTAACGAACGTACTCGTGTTTTGTCGCTCCAAGATGAACATCAAATATTGCAAGTGATTACTCAAGACCCTAGCCTGAGCATTAGACGCATAGCTAATCGTCTCAGCCTATCAAAATGGTCGGTGTTGAAAATTTTAAAAAGAGAAGGATTACATCCTTACCATTTTCGAAGGGTGCAAGAAATACTGGAACCGGATTATGTAAGAAGAGCAATATTTTGTTCGTGGATATTGAGAGAAACGCGATATGATCCAAACTTTTTAAAAAGAATTATGTGGACAGACGAAGCTACTTTCACGCGATCAGGGTATACGAACTACCGTAACGAACACCTGTGGCTTCAAGAAAATCCACATGCGATCCGCCCAAGTTCTTTTCAACATAAATTTTCTGTCAACGTTTGGGCCGGAATGATTGACGACATTCTAATTGGACCAATCATTTTACCGGAGACAATGAATAGCCCAAGATTCCTAAATTTCCTGGAAACGAATTTTTTGGATGCTTTATTGGAGTTACCATTGGCCTACAGGGCCAGAATGATTCTGCAATTGGATGGTGCTCCGGCACACTTCGCGCTTCTTGTGCGGAATCATTTAAACGCACACTATTCGTCGTGGATCGGATGCCGAGGAACAATTGCTTGGCCACCGCGGTCGCCGGATTTAACACCTCTCGATTTTTTTTTGTGGGGCACACTCAAACGAAGAGTGTATGTAAATGTGCCAAATACACGAGAGGAGTTAGCAGAAAAAATAATTCAAGCAGCAAACGAATTGCGAGAAGACAAGGCAATGATCCAGCGCTCTACGCAACACGTTGCACTAAGAGCAACAGCATGTCTGCAGAGACAAGGAGGTCACTTTGAGCAGTTTTTGTAATTATTTTGCCAAATTAAATGCAATTGATATAAATTATTTTGTTTTATTTCATTTGCTAGTGTATCCGCGCTTTTCAAGTAAGTATGTTTACACTATCATAGCTCCTAAACTATCTAACTCAGAGTTAAGATTTAAATGTGCATTTATAGCAAATATCCTGTATTATAATAAAAACAAGTAAAAAAATTGGTTAACACGATGGTTTCTTTTTTAAAGCTAAGAATCTGAAAAACATCAATTTGTTGTCTAATTTATTTTTTCAAAAATGTTTTTTACTAATACTGAAAAATTAAAAAATAATATTTTGAATCTAGATTTATTGTCTACACTATTAACTAACATTTGAGACCAATTTTGTTTTTGAAAGTCTTCTACTTGGGTAGATATTGTTAAATTAATACAAGCATCTACGCTTCGCCAACAATTTTTTTAAAGTGCTGCCATTTTTTTATTGATGGCGAAAAAAAATCATTGATCCCTGATTTGTCGATAAAATTAATTGTATTTTAACCCCTTAAAGTATCGGACATCGGAAACCGGACACATTGTATATTACTCGAAATTATTTACGTAAAAGGATAAATTATATTCACACAAAAACTTTCATTACAATTTTATAATAAAACACTAGAAAAATCCAAAAATCAACACAATACCATTGACGCGAAAATTGCGTTCAAAATGAACGCAGATTATAAATAAATATTCATAGGATAACAGTTTTTTTATTGCACTAGAGCAGTGATTTCCAAAGTAGTCTATATCGACCCCTAGGCGTCTACGACAACCTGCAAGGGGTCTACGTCAGCGAAAAAAAATTTGAAATGAAAATGGGGGTCCACGATAGTGGATCTCAACACATACACTGATAGCACCTATTTACTTACATCATACTATCTTATAATATCAAAACATATACATTATTTATAAAAGTACCTATGAAGTAAAAAAATTATTATATATGTTTATAAAATTGTGTAAGTTGTAGGATGTTGGTATTCGCTTTGTGGTCGCAATACATTTTGAACTTGTAAAAACCTGAGAGTCGCAGTCTCAGAGCTTCGCTACCTTGCACTGACTTGTTCAATTCGTCACTCTATAAATACGAATGTGGGACAAATACGTTTATTCGTTTCCTGAATCTTGAAAAGGAAAGTGCTAAGAAAATATTTAAAAAAATATAAACAGATAGTATATCACACAAATTATAGTGAGTCAGTGTTATTTTGTTTGAGAGTGTTGGAGAAAAGTAAGTACATTATTTTTTATTAAATTTTAGTTTTGTACTCGTAGTTAGCAAAGATAGATAAATTACGCCAATCATGACTTTAGTTATTAGTAGTTTAATATTCAATCATGCAAAATTACACGAGTACTCCTCAATAGTTTTTTTTGAAAGTTTTAGCAATCGGTATTATAATTACAGTGCAATCTCCGTAATTCGAGCTAATTGTTGCAAGAAGATGTTCGAATTATGGAATGTTTTCGGAAAAATCAAAAAATATTTTTAATATACAGCTGCTGGATTTTCTGTCTTATTTAAATAATTTAATTTTGCCCACAGATGACTGATGCCATGTCCGAATCTAAAAAGAAATGTAGACAGTACAGTGTCGATTATTTGAAATTTGGCTTCATTCCATCATTGCCGGACAAACAATTGCCTATGTGCCTTTTATGCAACAAAGTTTTGGGCAATGACGCTATGAAACCATCTAAACTGCAAGATCATCTGAGAAGATGCCACCCTGATAAAACAGAGAAAGATTTGAAATACTTTCAAACACTCAAAGATAAACTTCAGAAGAGACCTACACTGGACAGAATGTTCGCTTCGACGTCACAAAGAAATGATGATGGTTTGCGGGCGTCTTACAATATCTCGTTACTTATAGCAAAATCCGGAAAACCGCATACTATCGGAGAGAAGTTAATTTTGCCAGCCGTTGAAGAGGTTTTAAAAACTGTTTTACACAAACCTGCATCTGATATCATTAAAAGAATTCCCTTAAGCAACAATACTGTTGAAAGACGTATTGATGAAATGAGTTCTGATATTGAAAGCTTCTTATGTAATTATTTGCAAACGACCCATTTCTCTATACAACTGGACGAGTCAACTTTACCTGATAGTGCAGCATTATTATTGGCATATGTTCGTTTTATTATGAATCAAGAAATCTACGAAGAAACGCTCTTCGCAAGAACTTTGATAACCGACACTAAAGGTGAATCAATATTTCATGTTTTGAAGGATTACTTCATTGAAAAAGCAATTCCTTTATCAAATATAATATCAGTAGCTACAGATGGAGCACTTGCCATGGTTGGACGTTATCGTGGATTTATAAGCTATTTAAAACAAAATGTGTCAGGGGTGTTAGCAATACATTGCGTCATCCATCGACAACATTTAGTTGCTAAAAATTTGAGTGTTAGATTGCATGAATCACTTCATTTAGTCATTGATGCAGTAAACCGAATCCGAAGCAACGCGTTGAATACGCGGTTATTTGCGCAGTTGTGTGAAGAAAATGACGAACACTTTCATCAATTACTCCTTCACACTGAAGTACGCTGGCTGTCGAAAGGCTTATGTTTGACAAGATTTTTTGCACTTTTTGAGACTATTTTAGAATTTCTGGATACTAAAGATAAAATTTTAAAAGAAAATTTAATGAAGAGGAAAACAGACATCGCCTATTTAACAGATTTGTTTACAATATTTAATATGGTTAATTTGCAATTACAAGGCGACAGTTTAAATTTGATTAAAACAAAGTCCATCTTATCAGCGTTTCTTGCCAGAGTTAAACTAATGAAGCAAAATATTGGACGGGGCGAATTTTCTCAGTTCCCCAATTTGTCACAGACAAGCTGCCAGGAAGACGACGTTTCAACTTACGTTCAACATTTAAATGCCCTCTATTCAGATTTTGAATCTAGGTTTGAGGATATTTTGACTATGGTAATACCACCGTGGATAATTAATCCATATGGTGACATAGAAGAAACGAATGTCATAATACAAGAGGAACTGACTGAACTAAGTACAAACGAAGAACTTAAGGTTCAGTTTAAAAACGGATATCAGCAATTCTGGCTGCAAAACAACATACCCGTTACTTATCCCGTATTATGGAATATAGCGAGGAAATTTTTAATTTCCTTTCCATCGTCATACCTAGTGGAAAGGGGGTTCAGCGCTGTTACCAATCTCCTAACGAAAAAAAGAAACAGACTGGACATCATTAGCCGAGGAGATTTAAGATTAACCCTTACAAAATTGACGCCAAATGTTGATAATTTATTATTAAAGCATCAGGTTCATCCTTCTCACTAAAAATATTGACTTATTGCTTATATTATTTTATTTATAGTTTATTTTATGTTTATTTAATGCTACGTATATTTTACATAACAGATACAAAATTTTATTTTGAGTAGTTTTAATTTAAATTCAATTAATAAATGTATAAATTAACATGTGTTTTTACTTTAAGTTTTTAACACTAAACTTCACTACAGTTAGAAATTTACAGGAAATCAATATCAGGTAAGTAGGGGGTCTACCCAACACGGAAAAACATGGCAAGGGGTCTACGACACAAAAAAGTTTGGGGAACTCTGCACTAGAGTATAGAGTATTTCATATTGATTATATAATGCCAAACTTCTTTATAGAAAAGTAGTCTCTATATATAAGTTTTTATGGGTGTGTGTGGGTGCGACCTCATTAGACCGCTAGGGATTTGACGGAATATTGCCGCGGTCTCATGAGACCGCTAGGGGGTTGAGAGGTTAAACTTCATTATTTGTCAATTATCTGGTCATATATATAAGCAACAGATTATTCATAAAGCCAGATTGATTTAATTATTTGAATTCATATTGCCTATTCTTATTGGGCATTTTTCAAACAGTCTGGACATTATGAATAATGTCCAATTAATCACTTGATTTCTGTAATGTAAAATATTACAGTAACAGCCTATATGAACCGTACAGTTGGGCATAGGGCTCTTTTTTATTTGAAATGAGTCAAACATTTGAAAACATTTTGGGTAATAAAGTTACAACCTATATAACACACCTGTGAGATTGTTTCAAACAATTCATCTGGCTTGAGATTGGGCTCCCACAGTGCTTCACACATACCATACAACTGTTCAGAACAAGTTCCTGAGACTACAAAATCTTCAGGTTCATTTGGACAACCAATCTGTAAAACAAAAATTATTTAATATATAGAAAACACAATTTATAAACATTTATGTTCACTTTTTAATTTTGTGCTATTACATCTTTAGGACTTTTTATCCAATGACAGACCAAGTGTAGGGTGACGACCTGGACAAAACAAGACATGCAGGAAGTCGATCGATGCAGGTGGCTCACCGTGCTTTGTGGCATACCTTGGGGGAGGCCTATGTTCAGCAGTGGACTTGTAAAGGGCTGTAATGATGACGATGATTATGATGATCCAATGACATTAGGAAAGCAGACAAAGTTGGTTTGCAAACACCTATTAAAAACAATGCTTGTTACATCTGCTAGAATATTCCCATGGTACTGTACTGTACATAATATAGTAGATTTTATTTATAACGACGATGAAGCGACCGGTGTAATTTCGCCAATATATCCGGAAATCGCTATATCCCCAGGTTGGAAGGGGAGGTCAGAAAACTTGACATTAAGAAAGCATAAAAATAATATTTATTGTCAAATAATATTTTTTATTAACTTCTCGAAGCATTGCATAATTTCAAAGCAGTATTTCCATATTGTTGACACTGAAGAATGCGAAATAATATCTACTTTTCCTTTAACTGTTAACATTCTTCTAACGGGTGCCGTGACGAACAAACAATCTAACATCCCAAAAACAACTAAGCAACTAATTTTAAGCATATTATCATAGCTGCCGAATATCTGGGATTACGAAAAAGAGATAAGAAAGCTTAATGACTATAAATGAACCTTTGTGCATTTGTTTTTTGACTCGTTCATTGAGTACAGATTCGGTCACAATACCTGAAATATTATCTATTATATATATTTCGAGGAATTTCTTTTAAATTACTCATTAACACTTAGTCGCTATACCCGAATTGTTGTAATATGCGAAGTTGCTATAACCAAACCATTCTCTATCAAAGTATTCATTAAATTTAACAGACTACAAAGTAATGTCGTTATAACCGAAGAATCGTTAAAACCGGAGTCGTTGTTAATGAAATCTAGTATATTAAAAAAACAACAAATTATGAAATAAGAACTTACAACCTGCTAGACTGCCCAGCGGTTGTCAACTTTAGGGCTAAGTACCTTGGATCATTGAGGTTGCTTCTTGGGGTCATTAGTAACATTATAAATGTTCCAAGATTCCTATACAATGTAAGATTCCTGCCCAAGCCATGCCCTTAGACATGGTATTACGGATATCAGCCAGACGCAATCAAATAACAAAAGCAATGGGTCATGAGCACAGAGGATTATTAGTTAGGTAGACTACAATTGTTATGTAACCTTTCCCTTAACATAAAATAGGTGATGACTCACTTATGGACAAATGATATTATGAAAGTTCTCCACACTCATATTTCATTAGAGATCTATGAATTACTAAGGTCAAGGTTGTGCTCAAAACTTATACTGCTATTTACAGTACAGCAGAAGCTAAGTAGAGTCAACTTATCACAAATTACTTCAGCTAATGAACTCAAGAATTACAGCGAAGGCACCTACTACTGAAACAAATTTATGGACAGATAACCATCAGTCATCCGTCTGTTGACACTCCTAGCTTAATGGGTAGGTTGACAATCATAGCAGAATTTATCAGACTTATTGAGCCTCTTTATATCTGTTCCGTAGTATAAGTATTGACTATTAATTTAAAGTGATGAAAGAGTTGGTATTAATCTGTTTTCACTCATACAACACTGAAGGGATAAAACAGAGTGATGGATATTTCTGTGCCAACTTATGTCACAAAAGTAAATGTTAGACATAGTTTCACTAAAATATTTGCTCATTATATACATAAATAAAAATTAATAGAACATAATGTAATGATTTCTTATATTTACGCGAACACTATACATGATTAAAACTACTTTTACGGATTTTATCGCGTTTATTTTTACTTTTTATTTACTTTTATTTTTAATTCCCGACGTTTCGGGCGGTTTCCAGCAAGCAGCTTCTATTGTGGAAGGAAGAGTTTTACAAGCAAGTAGATGGTGTTGCGATGGGCTCACCTGTATCTCCCATTGTCACCGATATATTCATGGAAGACTTTGAGGAGAAAGCCATCCTTACTGCACCTGTTACACCAAGGATCTACAAGCGGTACGTAGACGATACTTTCACAATTTTACCATCAGACAAAGTAACTGCATTTTTAGAACATCTTAAATCCATAAACTCTAAAATTCAATTTACTATGGAGTTAGAGGCAAATAATTCCTTACCTTTCCTAGATGTGTTAGTCATCCGAAATCCTAATAACACCATTGGTCACACTGTGTATAGAAAAAGGACCCATACAAACCGATATTTAAACGGTGAATCTCACCACCATCCTTCACAGTTAGCTACCGTGGGCAAATCTTTGTTACAGAGAGCACAAGGGATCTGTGACAGCAAACACCTGGCCGCCGAGCTTCAGCACGTCAAGCAAGTTCTGCACGACAACAAGCTTCGGGTCCCGCGCCTACGTCACAGTGACCGAGTGAAGCCGGCCACAGTCGAGCGTGTGCCTGCTCTACTACCATATGTCAGAGGTGTCACAGACAAGATTGGCTATATCTTGAAGCGAGCTTCTATTAGAACATTCTACAAGTCGCCGAAGAAGATTAGTCAGTTCCTACCATCCGTCAAGTGTCATATTCCTCTACAAGATGCAGGAGTGTACAAGCTTGATTGTGAATGTGGTCTCTCTTATATAAGACAAACAAAAAGATCAATTAGGACCCGCATAAAAGAACATATAGCTGATGTAAAGCATCAACGTTCCGGGGAAGTCTGCAGTTTGTGATCATATCCTAGACGGACCCAACCATTACATCAGATTTGATAGACCACAAATCCTCGCGAAAGAACACCGATTCCTACCAAGGATGATACGTGAGGCTATTGAAATTAAAAAACATCCTAATTTCAATAGAGAAGGAGGCTGGGTACTACCACCTGCTTGGGATCCTATAATCAATAAAATTAAAACTAAACCCAAGCATACCACTGCAAGACCTCAGGACATAGTCAGTTCATTTTGCATAGATCGGACCATAAACAATAATTAAAAAAGCTGAAGGTACTCCGGGTTTAACAATGACATCGGGACGTCAGTCATCTCAGTCCCCCCGTGACCATGGGTGCTGGAAAACGCCCGAAACGTCGGGAATTAAAAATAAAAGTAAATAAAAAGTAAAAATAAACGCGATAAAATCCGTAAAAGTAGTTTTAATCAGAACATCTATAATGAATCTATAATGTACTTACCAAATCCATGTTACAAACATAGGGCTGATTATCATATGGGTCCAAGCCTGCAATAACGGGCTCAATGAAGTAAGGTCCAAAACGCTTTTCATATAATAAGTTAGAAAGCATTGCAGAGAAAGTTTTAGGCCTCATTATTCTATTCTCTTTTAATTCATACAAATTCATTCTGAAATAAGAAGAAATATGTTATAATATCAAATAAAAAATTTCCTACTGAACCATAAAAGTATAATAGTGGTATATAATTCCACAAAGTGTTGGAATAATATACCACCTCCGCTCAAAAACAGGAAAACAGTTCGCACTTTTAAAATAAAACTAAAAGAACATCTTTTAAATATGCAAAGTTAGTAGAATTCTGTGTCGATGTATCACATGTTTCTCATGAAGTATACTGTGTCTGTATAATATAAAACTAAGAAATACTTGCTTAATTCATTTGTACATTTATTTATTTTGCTTTTGTATCTTATAAAAGAATTTAATAGTGTGCCTTGTGTCTTGCACATGCCTATTGCCCACTGTTGCGCCTTTAGTTGTGTTGGTGTTTTGTTGTGCCTTTTTCCTAAATGTCAACAGTTTATTTTTATTTTTATAAGTGTGTTTTTATTGTATGTTCCAGCCTGTGATTAGTTAAGTTTATTTTATTCCACCTATGTCTCTGAAGTTTACTTTAAATCAGTAGTTGAAGTTACCACTCTATGGTTTCTAATTTCTATAACATTTCTGCTGAATAGAAGCCTTTTTAGTTCCATTCCATTGAATCATTTTGTTATATTAATTTATGTAGATGTTTGGAACTAAATGAATTATATATTAATTATTATTATTATAACAGTAGTCGATATTAATTGACAAACAATTTTATTTTGTAAATATTGAAAATTTGTATTTCATTATCAGTATTACCTGAATTTCAGCCTTTGGAACACAGTCTGTGTGTCAGTAGCAAGACCTGGAAGGCCTACAAATAGGGTTGGGCCCATTTGATACACTTTAGGAAAGTTGGTAGAGACAGTCTGAGCTTGTATACCATATCGTTTATCAGTAGCTATAGCAACACAATCTTGACCTTTCATCGCAACTACTGCACCCCCATTGTAGGCTAAAATTGACTGTAAATATAAAAATAATATTAATTATCTTTATACAAATATCTTTCCATGTAAGTTGCTATAGTTTTTTTTTATTATTATGTGCGAGCAGCTATGCAGGTCTAGGTAAAGAGACCAGTATCACTGCGACCTAGAAGATCTATTGTGATCGCTGCTATGGCTATAGTTCACTGCTAAGCCCTATGTCTTCAATGAATCAAAGGAGTTGCTTAGCCGTGAGCAATTTCACTTCTTCTGGGAGGAGTAGATGTGTCCCAGATGAGTGTCACGTTTGCGCATTAAGGGTCATGCTATAGGTTTACATTATTGTAAAGTAAATTTTGTATTTCTAGGTTTTCTGCTGATAATATTCAGTAACAAAACAAAATTAGTCATGATAATTTTAGCATTTGTAAGTGTTGTATTTAAGCAGCAAATATGTTGTAAAGTCAGTGAGCCGTGATAGCTTAGGGGCTTTGTACTAGCTTTAAATGTCACAGTATGGGCTCAATTCCCGTCGCCACCATTGAAATGTTTAATTGCAATTTTGAGTGCTGATTAACACATGCTCAACTGTGAAGGGAAACACTGTGAGAAAACCTGCATGTCTGAGAAATTTAAAAAAACATTCGTGCATTTCACATGCAGTTGAAGTGAAACCTTCATAAAACTTAACTACAAGAGAATGAGACAAATTCAGATTATTTCGAATGATAATTGTAGGGTTTATTAATTATAATATTGTTACTAACTTTAAAAAAAAATACATTTTATGAATTAAAAGAAAAGGGGAATGAAAGTGAACGCAAGTAAGACGAAAGTGATGGTTTTTGAAAGAGAAAAAAGCAAAACAGTATGTGAAATAAGAATAGAAGGAGAGTTAATTGGGCAAGTGGATGAGTTTGTGTATCTGGGATGTGTATTTAGCAGGGATGGTAGATATGATAGGGATATAGAATGATGAGTAAATGCAGGGAATAGAGTGAATGGGGCACTACACTCTATTATGAAGAACCAGAATTTGTCAAAAAAGGCATGTATGGTAATTCATAATGCTGTGTTAGTCCCTACTTTAATGTATGGTAGTGAAAGCTGGGTGTGGCAGAAGAAGCACGAAAGTAGAATAAATGCTGTAGAAATGCGGTCTTTAAGGAGTATGCTAGGGTTGAATCTGAATGACAGGGTGAGAAATTGCGTGATAAGAGATAAATGTGGTATGCAAGATGATGTTGTGACCAGGATTAAGAAAGGAATGCTTCGGTGGTTTGGTCATGTAGAAAGAATGAATGAGGAAAGAGTGACAAAGCAAATTTATATGGCAGATGTGAACGGCCGAGTCGGGAAGGGACACCCTAGAAAAAAGTTTATCGACCAAATTGGCGATATTTTGAAAAGGGGCCACGTTAGAAGTATCCTTAACCGACGAGCATGTATGTGTAGATATATGGATGTAAAGGAGGCGAAAGAGGTATGTCAGGATCATGCCAAATGGAAGTCCGTAGTCTCTGCCTACCCCTCTGGGTAAGAGGCGTGAGTGTTTATGTTATATATGTAGTAATATATGTATTACATTTCATGTTATACAGACTCTTCTAAATCTTAAATTTCATCACCATATTATGTACTTAAATAAATATTTTCTAATCAACAAATTTCATCCCTTACTGGATATATATCACATTAATAATCAGTCATTATAATCCTCAAACACAATAGGAAACACTATACTGTATTCTATTTCATTCATTCATTCTCTTGCAGGCTAAATCTTATGGATGTATATGTTTGTCCCTTTTTAACGTTTAATTTTTTTGTTTCATTGAGTTTTAAATCACAATGATTAAAATGAAGTTTTCACTTCAAAAAATATTTCGAAGATGTGTGAAGTCTGCCAACATGAATCGGGGCAGCATGGCATACACTTCCTTCCCCTAAAACTCTCTCAGAATTAAATAGAAATAAATTATATACTTACATATTACAATATATCTTATAAATCTAAGTAAACCAATTAATTCAAAATTGCTTATATCACTTGTAGTTCTGAGTACTGACTTCTTTACAGAGTTACAGAAATAGATTTAATATTCGAGATGTGATTTGATATCGGGTAAAAATGATATTGCCCATATCTTTAACTAACTTATGGAAAATAACAAGTAATCCAAAAATCTACATTACATTTTCTGTAAAATTATACATTAAGTATAATAGGGCTTCTGCCACACGAAAAATGGATTTATCATTCATATGGGAATAACATTGTTTTTGTGGTATGATCATTTCTCCACAACTCGGTCCAATTTATGTTTGTATTGAGTTGTTCTCACAAATACACTAATAAATACATTAATAAATAAATACATTCTTTGCAAATATGAATAATAGGCGCACTGGAACCGAAGAATAACCGGCACTGAACAATACATTTTAAAGCTATAAAAAATGCAATTAAACGTACCATTTTAGCTTAATTTCTCGATTTACTGGTGTGAAATCTGCTAGTTTCGTTTTTGTTCTTTTTAAAGGGAAACGCAAGACATGAACAATCAGACGAAATAGCTAAACATGAGAATTGAAAACGAAAAATGACATATCATCGGTCATTACCAAAGACAATAAATATCTTTGGTCATTATAATCATATCTTTGGTCAGATTTTAATAATGTTGATAGCACAGATGACTATATAATAGTACAGGCTAACTAAATCTTATGCCCACGTACACTATTATATATATTATTATAACTATAACTATAAATGGTAATTTTGTACTATCGCAGACACCTCGTTTTTTGGCTCTAGAAAATCGAAAAATCATCCGTTTTCAATGATTTTTTTAAAATCTTCATTATTACGGCGGATTTATGTAAAAATTACAAGAATAAAAAAAATGAAAACGTAAACTATGGGTCAGCTACTTCACTAACTCTATTACAAACTTAGTGTACTAAGAATAACTACATCCCGAACATATTGGATCTGCAACTATAACTAATGACTACTACTATCATACAATGCTCCAACTTTGTCACTCCCGCTCTCCGATTACAATGACGTTAGAACTCTAGATTTGCGCCGTCGTTGGCAACACACTGAAAACATGCTACAACAATTTTGGAAAAGCTGGTTTAACGAACACCTAACTCAACTTCAAAGCCGCTGCAAGTGGAACAAGCCCAGTAAGAATATTGAAAGGGGAAATATTGTCCATGTTTGGGAAACCAACTTGCCGCCGGGAAAATGGGCGTTGGGCCGAATACAGGAAGTTCACCCGGGTTCCGAAGGCTTAGTGCGCGATACTACTGTGAAACGCAAGCTGGTGTTATCAAGCCCCCCGTAACTAAACTTTCACCACTCTCATTGGTATATAAAAAATCTGAGGGAAAGTGCGCAAGGACTTTTTTTTTATAGAAAAAAGGGCAAACGAGCATATGGTTCACCTGATGTTAAGTGACTACCGCCGCCCATGAACATCCGCAACACCAGAGGAACTGCAGGTGCGTTGCCGGCCTTTTAGAAAGGAGTAAGCTCTTTTCTTGAAGGTTCCCAGGTCGTATCGGTCCGGAAAAATCGCCGGTGGTAAACTATTCCACAGAGAGGTCGTACGCGGAAGTACTCATAGTGAAACGTACAGTGGTGGACCACTAAGCAACCAGATGTTGTGGATGGTATCATGAGGTTTACCGCGTAGTGCGTTCATGAAAATTTGGTGGCTGGGATTAATCCTAACAATTCCTCAGAGCACTCTCCGTTACAGATACGATAAAATACGCACTACAAAGAGATACAACATCTCTTCGCAGCGCCAGTGAATCAAGCCGATCGGAAAGCACTCGGTCGTCGATGATTCGAGCCGCTCTGCGCTGGATGCGGTCAAGTAGAAGGAGCTGGCATTGGGGAGTCCCAGCCCAGAGATGGGAACAGTATTCCATGTGAGGCCGAACCTGTGCCTTGTAAAGTTTCGGGGGGTGTCCTGGCATAAAATACTGTCCCGCTCTGCTAAGCACGCCAAGCTTTTTAGAGGCCAATTTGGCCTTCTCTTCCAAGTGACCACGAAACTGCACGTCACTAGATATGTCGACGCCAAGGATTCCAATACTGGCTGAGGCAACAAGGGGAGTAACTTGAAACTGAGGCGATACGACAAAGGGGTGCTATAAAGATTATCTCGGCACTACTGCGTGTAGAGAAGACAAACGCACGATTTTGTGCCACGCTTTGCGGTACACTGTACCGCAACTGTTCAAAGAATGTCCAACGCTCCCACAAACGAGTCGTGTTCGCATCGCATAAATAACAAATTCAAAATACCCTGTTTGCTTCTTAAAGACTGCAGTAAACACTCCAGAATATGAAAAAAAAAACTGATGGTTTAACATTTCATCGGTAAGTAGACATTAAAACGTTTAAAACTCTTTGATTTAAAGTTTTTCGCGTTGTTACAATGCTCAAGAGAATCGGGAAAAATGTAAAATCTTTGGGAACGACTTGTATACTACGTTGAACGATACGCGTAAGTGCCATGAAATTCCTGGCGTTTATGACGTTTTAGTCGCGAGAAAATTAATCCCTAATGCAAACTAGCGCTGCATGTTTTAATAGTTTGGTTAGACGATGTAACTATTATTTTAGCGCTGCAGCGAACTTTACTTCTAACTCTTACTAAAATGAAGCAAACTTTTAGTTCGAGATGTCTATTCTATACGCTAGTAATATAGTTCGATGCACGGGCATGAAAACTTCTTCGACATTATTTACAATGTTTGCAGCAATGTTTACGTTGATAACTAAAATATATGACGGCGTGTCATCAAACGCTCGGATATCGAATACAACCGGCCCATCTATTACGACACACTTGGCGAAATGCAAATTATACACGACGAATGGAACTTACTTCTATACAATAACTTAACTAACTATTTGAGCAATATACAACGAATTGAAATTTATCTAGACGGGTAGGCGGACTTGTATGAAAGTACGGATTCAAGATACTGTAACAGTACGTTTGCACTGAGAAACATCCAACACGTAATGTTTTGAAACAAATCGCATAAAATAAATCACACAACATGTTTTGTTAATGATGGCGTTCGCACTCACAAAAACTGTGTAAAATTTTCAACAGATATTTAAACTTATCTCTCAACATGACAATATTTCTACAAATTTGTTTTCAAACATTTTGTTTATGTAGTTACAAAGATAGCGAAAGATAGTGGATAGGAGCAATATCAGAAGGATATTGAATCCATATAAAACAACGAGAACTACTTACTTGAACTAGTGAAAATTCAAACTTCTGTCGTGGAGCTGGAAAATCAGGTTCTGAGAAAAACTGAAGACAATATCAACAAATAACTCAGCATGATCGACGGGTTTATGAATTAAACCGATGCCAACTTCGCCAAGGCTGAATCAGCTGTAGAGATAATGATGGCCACTGCTTTCTTTAACTCAGCTTCATTCGCCACATACTTACTCCTAAATAATAAGCGCACTTTGCAAGAGATGCCTGAGAGTGACTCTCTTACCGACGACTACCAAGGTCACATAGACGTTTACTTACTTTCTCCAGTCGAACTGATGAAGCAACAAAACATGATTTCTGGAAGACTACCGAAATCGCTAAACTTACCTGTAATTAATCCAAGGCAGAATATCAAAGACATCTACAAACTACTCTATGTACGTAAAGGCTCGAGTGACGTCTTATAACTACTTTTTATTTGAAGTTCACGTGCCGCTCATATCTACCGAGGAATTTTTACAGAGCTATCCCACTGCCTATGGAGTACGTAGTAAGAAGTACCAACTCCCATCAGACAAATTGACGCCTTCTTTCGCATTCGCACACAAAAAGATATACGCTGGACTGGCTATACCATACAAAATGACTGTGCCAATTTGAAGCGCCGCTAAAGGATGTCTTGAAAAATAGTTGACATAATATGCCAAAGTATGTTGTGTTGTTCATATTGTCATATTTAATAAGTCTGTATTTTGAACTTTTAAACTAAAAAACGAAAGTATTTTATGTTGTTTTCATTGTGCATAATATTAGTTACATAATAAGAATTATTTTTATTAATAATGAGAGGGTGCGTAATCTGTAAAACTTGTTACCAAAAGGGAAGTGGTATAACATTTCACAAGTAAGTGAATTTGCAGCAAATATTAAACAAATTAAAACTATTTGATAATATAAGTACTTAGAAATTTGTTACTAATCTTAATATCATATATACCAACATGTTTGGCTGTATATTACTGAGTTTTGATAAACAATAAAATTCAATAGGTTTGTCGAGTTTCTTGTCTACGATACTTATCGATGTTCTTTCCTACCCATATCTGTTAACAAACAAAGTCAACAAAAACAGATGATTATCAAATGTTTATTAACAGGTTTACCTAGATTAAAATTATGTCTTAAAATCATAAATATTGTGAATTGGCGTCCGAAACAAAATGATCATGTTTGTTCCAAACATTTTACAGACGACTGTTTTATTAGACATGAGAACTGCACCACTTTGAAAAAGTGCAGTATACCGACAATATTTTCTGGTAGTAACAGTGCCAAGCACTATCAACTACCAAGTATTACGTATTAGATTATTGTTTCGAATGTTTTTTTATTTCTTATTTCTTCATTTTCCACCAAACTCAAGGGCCATTGCCGAGTGTCGAAAGGTCGCCTGATGATGTCGAGCCACGTTGGATGTGTGTTAGTGAGCTGCGGCTAGAGGAGATTCCTCTCCCTGTACCGCTGTAGTCGAGGTGGTGTCGTAAGGGAAGAGGAGTGTCGGTATGGCGATTGACGATGCGCCACTCGACTGTCTTTCGCGATTTTTGTGAAGCTGCACCACTTGATGCTTCCAAGTGCTCTTTTTTCCCAGCCTCCATTCACATATCGGCCCCGGTAATTGATAATTTCAGTTATTTTTTTTAATATTGTAATTTTAATTTGGAAAATGACGTTGTAAATAATTGATAATTATGTAATTCAAAGTTTATATTTTTTTATATTATCTTACTAGCTTGCGCATTGCTGCCGCAGGAGAAGTAATTGTGGAAATATCGTTAAAATAGTGGAACAGTTATATTGTATAATTAGGAATGATAACACAATCATTGAAATATAATGATATATAACTTTCTATAACTTTCAAACAAATAGTCAGTGTAATACGCACGCCACCCAGTGCCAGTTAATTGTACCATGCGTATAACCTTCGCACAAGTGCAACCAATAAGTTGACTATGTTTTACCGCAATCTGATGAACGGTATGGCATCGTAGAAAGTACGAACAAACATAAATTTTTATATAGTAGAAAATATTTTACTGTCTATAGACAGACCTGTAGTTGATTAGAATAGGCGTTATTATAGCAGCTGATTTGTTTTTTATAATACTAAAACTAAATGAACGGTTGACAATAAATTATTCTA